GCCCAATCAGCCAGAACTACTGTCATCCTCCCTCTCCCGTGCATACGCCCAAAAAAGACTGAGGTCTGCACTGAACTTCCACGCGTTCGCTCTCCCAGCTTTAGAGAGACGCTGCAGCGAATGACGCTGCGCAGCTCATGGCAAATGACATACGGCACTGATTTTCACAGGCAGAGAAAACAAGGGGTAATCTGAGGGCTAAAAAGGAAACAGTTTGTTTCCTTAAAGGATGAACACAATGCTGGAATGCACACAAAACATTAACAGCAATCACAGATTGTACAAAAGACGTTAATTCACTTAACTGATTTATAAGCAGCTCTTTCGTGCTTCTCACAGAGCTTTGACCCCATATAGATAGCATCTGCATAAAATGGTAGGGGAACATAAAACAAGATCTACATACAGACTTTTATAAAAGGACATCCATACACAGCAAGAATTCCTTCTAATCCATGGACGAGAACTGGGACTGTTCCCACTATTACCCAGAAGAACAGAATGGTCAGCAGTGACCGGTACCTTTGTATAACATATTCAAAATTTTTTTTTAAAAAAAAGGAAAAATAAAAATCAGAGATGGGATTTCAGCTCCACTGTTGCTTTCACAGAAAAGCAATGTACAGAGAAGACTTTGTAAACATAGTTGCATTTTTTGCTGAGAGTCTTCTAAGGGCCAGAGAAATTAAGAAGAAATTAAATATGTATCAGAGACCTGTGTCCAAATGCACATTTTCTCCTCCTTGCCCATTTCAATCTATAGTTTTATTTCATGAGGGAGCAATCCATTCTTAAAAATGAAGGAGAGAGATATGTATTTCATTCAAGAAGTGAAAACTCTGGACATTCTGCTTCATTAAAATTCATTTTTACAAAAAACTTGAAGCCAGTTAAAAGTATTATCGAACTGCAGTCATGCAGCTCCCCGGAAAACATTTTCAGTTGTAAGATTTGCAAGTAAAAGCTGGAAATTTCTCATGACCAACTAGAAGGACAAGACAGAGCAGATCTTAAGAAGTCCTGTACTGTTTCATTTGGTTTTTTGCAAATGATACTTTGTCCAGTGCATGCTTTAGAGCAAGTAATAAATGTGATACTATCAGCACTGAACTTCTATGCATTGCCCACTTCTGCACAGCCATCACAGGCTTGGCTCCTAGAGTAAAAAAGAAAAGAACACCTAAAGCAAAAAAGAAAAGAATACAGAAAGCTGAGGAAGGGGTTAAACGATTTCAGCCACCCACCTCTCCAGCCATTAACTAGGGAGCAGCGCCTGTGTGTCCTAGTAAGTACAACATGAAGATCAACCAATAAGAAGAGACACCAATAAAATTTGTGTCTTTTTAGATTAAAATCTGTTTCCATCAGCACAAGTTTTGAGCCCTGTCTAGGTGTTATTTAATTTAATCTAATTTGAACAATTTCCAAACATCAGCTTGATTAATTTCAACAGCATGGTGTTATGGAAAGATTTACTGTACAGGGGTTGTCTAGCAGGGAATTAATAAAGAAGCCAGTTCTTAGCCCTGAGTAACATGAGGTTTTAAGACTTCCCAGATTTCTAGTGGGAATACTTCACAGCACAAGCATGTTTTCTTCTGGGACTGAAACCCACCAAAATTATTAAAAACTGAGATCAAATGGTGGTGTCAAACCCAAAGGAAATCATTTTACAGTGGAGAGATTTTTATCAAATGAAGAAAGTGGAAAATAAAGTTTTTGTTGTTGCTGTTGTGCTTTGGGTTTTTAGGTTTTGTTTGTTGGTGGTTTGGGGTTTTTTTAACAGAACACAGACACACACGCAGAGTAATCTCCCTCAAAGACAAAGCAAATTTCTATGTTTGGGAGCTCAGAAACCAAGACATTTATTCGAAAATTCATAAACTAGTGAAAACTCTTCAATTACTGTATGCAGAAAACATTTTCCCTAGCAGAGACTGTAATGTCAGTCATTCTCTAAGCTAGTCTTTCCAATACAGAGAGGGAAAAAAAAATAAAATCTAGGTATCAGCAAGAGCAGAATTCACATATGTTTATTCCCAATCACAACTCAAAACACTGAATTACGAACAACTTCAGTTGCACTTCTAAGATGAGACCCTTACCCTGCAATAGAGATTAAGAAGCTCAATTAGCAAAGCATGGGTTGTCTTGAGGAAATTATCTAGATAAAGATTCCATATATTTAACCATAAAGCATGCTTCCACAACTGGCAATAACCACAGGAAGCAATCAAACTACAAACATTTCCTAAACCTAATCTGCTTCTGTTTTTTCTTTAGGTGAGAGCCCTTTATCCAGAAAAGGTAGTGATGGAAAAGCAGTCCATTTATTTATTTCTCTTTGCGCTGCAATAGAGCTGACCTTACTTATACTGATCTGGTATTTAACTCTCTCTCCCTTTCTTTTAAACAGATTTGAAAAATGAACCTAAATTGAGAAAACTGTTTTAAAAGGCAGAAATCAGCATCCATGTGGCACAGGAGAGGTTTGCCAGTTCTCCTCCTCACATCCTGCAGCTCTAATTGAAAAGGCAGAAACCAATTAAGTTTGACAGCTTCCAGTTATTCAGAAATACCTGAATTTCTGCACCAAAGATGGCCATCCTACATCCTAGTGCAACACA